CACTGCTTTTGGTACCTTTGGCGTAATGGCAAGGAGCTTCTCGGCATGCCTCGTGGAAGATGCACCCCTTGTTCCTGCCTCCAAAGTAGGCGTCCAACCTGACCTGTGTCCGACCAGGTGTAGGGCCGCGACGTGGAACAGAATCCTTTGGGGTAGGCTTACCGGTGCCCTGGAATCTGGCTGCCGCCGCGGCCACTGCTGGCCCTCTAGATCGTTGTCGACCAGCGCGTTGCTCAGCAGGTTGCCCCTCATATCTCTTGATGTCCCCGGGATTAGGATCATCGCCCGGGCCCTGGCGCTTCTTCTTCTTCTTGAGCTGAGGGCGATCAGGTCCAAGAGATGGGCGTATTGAGCCAGCATCAGAATCAGAAGACGAAGGGAAGTTCGATAGTTTCTGGCTTCGGTTTGGGCGCTGCCTTTGCCGTGGCTCCTGCCAGTGCCCCAGAAGAAAGCCGACGATAACGTTCTATGGGGCCCTGGCCAGGATTCAGATATTCACCGCCTGGCCTTCTGAAAGCCATGTTCTGAATAGGAACTTTGCGTGGCTTTCCTTTCCCGCCAAGTACTTATCTGCGCTGCGTCGTTCAGCTATGCAGGTAGTGATCCATCTCACACCTTCGGCACGGTAAGCGATGCGCCTGCCAGGAGAGAGATCCATGTCTCTGGTGACAACGTGATTGGGGTCGATCGGAGTATCAGCATCACACGTAGCGTCCGTGATACCCGAATCACCTGCTTCACCGTCGCCAAGGGCGGCTTCCGTGGGATCAACGTTTTCAGCCATTTCAGCATCTTCATCTTCAACTTCATAGACGTCTAGTTGGCTCTCTTCTTCTGGTTTGCACTGGGCAGGTTCCCCTGCATGCCTGTCACGATTGAACTGCACCAGATAACTAATAAGTGCCAAGCTCTTCCAAATAGCCTTTGTTTGTTCAATTTCTGTAGCTGCTGCAGGAAGGTAGTTCTCATCCGTCTGCCGCTTATCGCATGGCGTTCTGTTGGGGTCAGTACAGTTGCCCCGACCCTGTCCATGTGACCAAACCCACGGTGTTCTTTTGAAATTCGGACTTCTTGATGGGCGTCTCATGGGACAGCCAAGCCTGCGATCGGAATGGCTGGGGCATGTGCAGCAAACGCCTCGATACTGCTTTCGATCCTCGATGGTGGCCCTTTTGTGATCACGCGCGCTCATCTTTTCTCGCGCGTTAGTCTGTCCCTTCGTTGAACGAATGATAGTACCATCCTCGTTTCGCATAGCTTGGCGCAGCGAATGCCAGCGTCGGATTTGACGTTCGTTCCAACCTCTATCCAACCAGTATTCCATCGTCTCTGCAGGTATATAATGACGAGCCAATCCAGGTTCGCCCCAGCCTTTTAAACGGTGTAATTGGCCTTCTGGATGTTCTTCTCCTCGACGTTGATCACACTGGGGCGGGTTTCCCCGCAGACGTTCCCCCCTTGGGGGGGCACGCGCTGTAGGCGTCTTCCCTGGCGGGCCACTTGAGGCCCCCGCCTCGGGGGCGAGGGCGCTGAACGCCGCTCGAGCGAGCGCCACTGGAGCGGGCTCGCGCCCGATCTGGCGAAAAAACTATGAGCTCGACCGCGACGCACCGCGCGGTCATCCTGTTCATATTCGTCGTCCATTGGCGAAAGACTTGGATCGTCGCGATGATTCTTTTTTCCTTGTGAAGGGCACGCGGCTTGGCGATTGCCTCGGACTGCTAGTGGGCCAATCTGACGCAACAGAAGTGCACTGAACTTCTTCATTATGTCCAAGCTCATATTGAATGCGTTCAGATAGGTCGCCAGCGTCACGCGGGTTTCCCCGCAATGGATCACCATGGATCGATTCCATGTTTGTCGGATGCCCAATCGCCCGAGGATAGAGCACGGCATGAACTTATTCACCCGCTGCGTGAATGGTAGAATCAGAACCCGCGGGCGCCCCCGCCATGCCGAAGTCACCTTCGACGGGCGCGTGGAAGTTCTCGACAAACTCAATATCAGCAGGTTGCCCCGCGATGGGTATACCCCGCCACTTTGCCAAGTCGATATCGTCGTGGCCGGTGAACACCTCTTCGAACAGCTCGTCGGCGTACTTCTCGAGGTTCATGCTGGCACACACATACCTGGCAGCAATGAAATGAATGACTGTGGCTGAGCCGTCAGCAGGGTCGGCCAAAAGCGACTCCCAGTCAAAGCGCTGCATGTCGGAGTCCGTTTGAGCCACATGCATTGACGGACCCCTGCCTCTTCCATCGTCTTGGTGGGCATTCCCGTCGGAAATGTCGTGTGCAGTGGCACATGTCGCACTCCATAGTTTTTCCGTCGGCATCCTTTGGATTCCCTCGTCGTCCTTTACCTTTGCCTGACGTATGCCTACGGTTCCTGCCGGCACCTGAAAACATTTCTTCATGCTGGGGCCCAGCTGGGGCCCAGTGAGATGCTCGGAATGCTAGTGTGCCTCCACCATGTAGTCACCGACGCCTACCTTTGCCTTTACTTCGACCCTTGCCTGTTCCTTTGAGTGTCCGCCGTGCCATACGTTTTGCCCTCCTGATTGGTTTCTTCATGAATCTCCGTCAACGACGCTCGTGTTCTTGATAGCCCAGAAATAACCACCGGGCTTGCTGCTCTTCAGCGAGGTATGTAGGCATATCAGAGCAGTCCAGCGCGGTAATTTCATCATCAGAAGACGCATCGGCATCGGTACCTGAGTCGAGGTCGGACTCGGCGGGTTGCCCCGCAGAGCCCATTAGGGGCATGGCATGCACAGGGGAGACCGCGTCGGGTGGCCCCCTAGATCTGGCCCAGGGGTCTCGAGACCCCGAGGCCGTACCGCCATTCTGGGCCAACAATGTAGTGGTCTCAGACGGCGGCATATCATCGTTCCAGACGTTGTTGGCAGGTTGCCCTGCATTGGCCTCTGCGTGGAAGGTCTCGGTTCGGTGACCGTGACTAAAAATACAACCGATATTGCCAGGGGGTCTCTCAGCTATGTGAGCATATGACCTCGCACGTTCAAGGAGTGCATCAAGTTGTGCTTGTTCCCTCGGCATATGGTGGTTCAGAGGCTGCAGGAGCTGCTGCGCCCGCGACGCCCCCGCTCCCAGAGCTCTGAATAATATTACTGCGAATATCTGGAAATTGGGGACGTTGAAGCCGACTGTTTCTGCTTCGTACCGGGCTATCTCGAACCGCGCTAACGACTGGTCGATTCTTTCTCCCGCATGGACACGAAAGTCAATGAGAGCCGTGCCAGAGTTGAGCTGGCGTTCCTCTTCTAGGTTCTCGAACTTCGTACTTAAGAGGAACATATATGTAGGTGACGCCGTCGGTGTGGCGACCACCTATATTGACACCAGAATTGATGACAGCTGGGGGAACTCTAATGGCTATGGTCCGTGCGAGCCCTCCAAGACCGCGCTGGAGTGCGGCGGCCTGTTGGGAGGGCGTCATGTTGCCTGTGGTCACGTTGATCCAGGCGTGTTCCTCCCGGACAAACTCGCGAAATTGTACTTGACCGGCAAGATCCCAATGGGGGCCGGTCGTCCTAGTGTCGCCTCCGCCCCGCATATGTCCCACCGCTCATCCAAGAGCGACCCATATGGGCCCAAAGATAGTAACCCCAATTCAATGGCCTCGTAGGTCGTAGTCGGGTGTAGTCGGTGGAGACTCGTGTTTTGTCGTCGTAAGTCTGCGAGGGGTCGGAGGCGGCAGTATATCGCATCGCATGCTGCCATGCATTATATCTTCGAAGAAACTTCCCATTGGAGTAGGTGGGTTGACTTCAGGAGTGTAATAGCGCAGGGATGTAGAATATGAGCAAGAGACCTCCGCTGGAGCAGAGGTGTCGCTGCAAGTTTCCTTGCGGTACTGCGTATCTATGTACACTCCTCCGCGCCATGCCACTGCACCCTGATGTTCCACCGTAGCTGTAGTCCACCAGATGATGCCGCGGATGGTGAGGAGTAGAGCTAGAGCTGACCACCATAGGCCAGCTCCGCTACCAAGTTTGAAGGGGGCTGGGAGGCCCCGCCAACAGCTTCGCCTCAGGCGAAGCCAAGCTCCAGCTCGGCTGTATAGTAGTAGCGGTAGACCCAATGCAAGAGGGGATGCCATGTCAAGTAAAAGGGGATGCCTTCTAGTCTCGATAGCGATAGTGTGCCTCGCTGTGAGGCACAGTCAAATCTAGGCGGCCGGCCGCTTTGAGCCAAGACGGCCGCGGGCGCACGCTCGCTTCCGATCCTTACGTCCCCCAGCTCGCTTTAGAGTCGCCTGACACCCCCAGCCAACTCGGCCTCCTGGGCGCGGTGTTTCAGCGCCCCCCACACCTTGTAAAAATTCGCGCCGGCACACCCCACCGTGTCTGACGCCCCTAGCCACCTCGACCTGCTGGGCGTGGTGGTTCAGGACCCTGCGCGATGTTTTAGGGCCCCCCCACCCTGCAAAAACTAGCGCCCGCACCCCCCACCGCGTCTGACACCCCCAGCCACCTCGACCTCCTGGGCGTGGTGTTTCCCCACCCTGTAAAAACTCGCGCCGGCACCCCCCACCGCGTCTGACACCTCTAGGCACCTCGACCTCCTGGGCGAAGTGTTTTAGGGCCCCCCACCCTGCAAAAACTCGCGCCAGCACCCCCCACCGCGTCTTCCCCAAGAAATTCAAACGAATATCGAATACACTTCATACCCACAACCCATGCGAAGTAGCGGGATGGGCCGAGGGCCATTTAAAAGAGAGGAGTCCGAGGTGCAACACAGAATCAGGAGTCTCAACTGAACCCTTCCTGCCGTGCTCGGAAAACACCCCGACAACAAAAGAATCAAACATTCGTCATTACGACTATTATTACTCTCATGATTTACTGTACTATCATGATTCTGAACATGAGAATTATCATTATTCTTCCTATTATTACTAGAAAATTAATATTATGATTATTATTATAAAGATTCCTCGGTCCTCGCCCTGCTCCCTTTGGCGCACCGCCGGGTGGCCGGCTTGCCAGCTCGAAGAGCGTGGCGCAGTGCAAGTTTTCGAGCGGCGAGATGTCGTTGTACCGGACGGCAAGCGGGTGTAACCTCCGGGCCCTCTGGCCCAGGGTATCCTCCTCCTCGCCCTCACCCACCATGGGCATCATCCGCATCATCATAAGCATCGTCACCACCATCATCAGCAATGACATGACCATCATCATCATCATCATCATCATCATCATCATCATCATCATCATCATCATCATCATCATCATCATCATCACCATCACCATCATCACCACCACACCCACCCACCATCATCGTCATCATCATCAGCAGCATCAGCAGCATCATCAGCATCAGCATCAGCATCGTCATCATCATGAGCATCGTTGACATCAGCAGTATCGTCATCGTCATCATCATCATCATCATCATCATCAGCAGCAGCAGCAGCAGCCGCAACAGCGTCAACAGCTGAATAAAAATAATCATCACCATCATCACCAAAACTGAAACCATCACCACCACCACCGTCATCATCATCATCATCATCATCATCAGCATCAGTATCAGTATCAGCATCAGCATCATCATCATCATCATCATCATCATCATCATCATCATCATAACGAACATCAGCATCATCATCATCATCATCAGCATCATCATCATCATCGTCATCATCATCATCGTCATCATCATCAGCAGCAGCAGCAGCATTAGCATCATCATCATCATCATCATCATCATCATCAGCATCATCATCACCATCATCCCCTCCCAGCCATCCTCTTCCCCCTTTTCCCACTTCTCGTCCGCCTCCTCATTCTCATCATTCTCCTCCTCCTCCGCATCGTCCTGCTCCTCTCCCTCATCCGCCTCCTCCTCCTCCCTTCCTCCCCCCCTTCCTCCTCCTTTTCCTCCTCCTCCTCCTCTTCCTCCTCCTTGTCCTCCTCCTCCTCCTACACCCCGTGTCCTTATGGAGAACTCCTCAGAGTCGCAGCCCCAGACGTGCCGGTAGGACGGGTCTGGCTTTTCGCATAAGCGCGAGAGGAGGAGAAGGAAGGGAGACGCAGCCGATAGCTGCACAATCCGGTGAATAGAAAGAGGAGAAGGAAGAGGCAACACAAAGGTCGATGCAGTGTGGTCGGGGTCGTCACAGGGCCCTCCACCGCTCCCTGCGGAGGGCCTGCAGTGTCCATGGGGGGAACGACACGCCAGACCGCTGATGGGGAACTGCGCTGTCACTTGCCAAGAGCAGCACAGCCTGGAGAGTGCACGTGGGGTAGCCACGTGACGTGGCACGACGGTCGCGTCCCAGTCCTCCAAACTTGAGATGGCCCGTCGCACTGCAGCGTACCCAGGCGGGGCGCACTTGGACGGGGGCGCAGCAAGGGCCGCGCAAACTGATGAGTGGTAACTTAAGGTGGAGCGCGCGCGAGGTGGGCCTCTGGCCAACATTCTCGGTCATCCAAAGTGGGGGCCCCGGAGGGGGGGGCATAGACGGCCCCCAGCCCCGCGGGCAGTCAGGTCTAAGGGGACGCGGGGGGGGGGGATTATTTCAGCCACCGCCCCGCTGTCCAGGATGGAACCACGAGACCAGCGTGGGCTGTCTAGTTCGCAGCGCAATGGTATTGGTGCACCTCTGCCCCAACAGAGGTAGCACAGGGGTATTAAGGCCTAGGCCTGGCGCTGCGGTGAAACCTGCCCGCAACAAGGTCAGGAGCGACCACGAGGGAGGGGACCTGACACCACACCATGTCCTCAGCCCCCACTCGCTGAATCGTTGTGCAAGGCAAAGGGCCGGTTGAGGACCATGGGGCTGCCAACCCAGCGGGCACCGCCCGGCGCTGCGGGGTCCCAGATGGCCCACAGGGTCAGCGCGACGGAGACCACTTTGTAGAGGTAGGGGGATGTTGTTCCCAGCAGTCCAAGATCATTGTTGTCCAGGAAGCACGCGTTGCGTTCCATGACGGGCAGAGTAGCAACTCTGAGAATCGACGTGTCCTGGTAGAACAGAAGAGGTTTGAGCCACAGACAGGCTGCGTAGACCCTCCTCCACGGGGGGCAGGTAGGGGAGACGGAGGGCGGGGGAGGGGGAAGGGGGTAGCAATCCCAGTGCGAGGTCCCAGTCGAGGCGGGCCGGCATCCCCCGACCGCGGGGAGGGGGTGGGCGCGAAGCGGCTGGGCTATACCGTGATCACTTGGGGTGGAAGTCGCATCCCCGCTAACGCTTGTCCGCGTAGTGGGTTTCACCTCTGGGGGAGGACCTTTTTCCTTTGGCCTTCCAATCAGCGTCGGCCCATGTGTCCTGCTGATGGCCCCGCCCATCCCAGGACTGCCACGTGCGCCAGGGTGCTGCGGATCCCGATGCACCTGTCCGTGCGGCAGCCCCGTCGTCAATGGACCATGGGGGGGTCTTTGCAGCCGCCTTGCCCTCGCCGGCCCATGCGTCGGCATGCCCCTTGCTTCCGATGGGCGCGTCGGCAATGCGTGGTCTGGTGTCGCGCTGCGTGAGTCTGCGCTGCTTTTCCATGGCGCTCGGCCAGTCGACGTGGAGTTGGTATTCTCTGTCCATCCTGTAGGCGTCGTATCCAATTTTGCTCCATGCCTGGAGGAATTCGTCGCATTGCTGCACCGTGTTTCGCCTGGGGTCGGACTTGATGTTGACCCAGGCGCCCCCTTGACTATAGGCCGCCTTTCTGGCCCAGGCGCTCCAGGCCCCATTAAACGCGCCCCCCCAGCGTCTTCTGCATGCGTGTGATCTTATCTGGTGCCGGCTCGTCCCTGGAGACGTCTGCATCGTCGATGGGTCTTAAGGGCATGGGGAGGCCTCCCATGGGGTCGTCAGGGCGCGCTGGTGGGATTGCTGCGGCCCCTGCGTCGTGCCACCGGCTCTGGGTGCTGCGCCGCGGTCTGGGAGCGCTGCGATGCGGTGTGGCCGAGCGCTCTCTGGGGCTGCCTTCGTCGACTGCGGGTGGTCGGCGGCCAGCTTGGCTCCCCGACTGCCTACGTGATCCGCCGTCGCTGACAGCGTTAAAGCTCCAGGTCCGCCCCTCTCTGGGGCGGGCTTCGTCTCTCCTCCATGCGTCACTGGATGCTCCTCGGTCGGTAGCCTGCGCAAATGGGGACCAGGCTTGCGAGTCGGCCCTGCGGGGGGGCTGGGCCCAGAGTGGAGGGGGACTTTGCGCCGGCTTCCGGTCGGTGGGTACTGGGCCGTCGACATCGCCCCCCTGATGCGCAGGGCTGGCCTGCGACCCGGAGTCAGCCGGGGCATCCGTCGGGCTGCCGCGCGCCTAGGCGTCCGGCTCGGATTTATTCTCGGCATCGTCGTCCCAGTCTATCCCTTCCACATCGCCGTCGCCGTTCAAGTGCTCTGCTGAGGACAGCACCTCTTCTGGGGCCCCGTCGGGCTGGCCAGGTGCGCGGGGTCGTTGTGGCAGATCATTTGCGCGGGTCGGGGGGGCGTCGTGATCCCCAGCTAGCTGGTCGGATGGGGGCGTTGCCTTGCCCTGGGGCCTGTTGAGCCAACTGGCGGCAGGAGGCTCATCTTCTGCTGTGCTCTGGTAGTCACATCTTGGGGCTGGGCGGCGAGGAGTTCTATCGTTCCTCTGGTTAGGTCGTTCCCCAGCCTCGTGAGGAACAGCGCGAGGACGTGCGGGCCCTGCCCTTTCTGACTGTCGAGGCTGCTTGTGTAGCGCTCCCAGTCCTCCTGGTACTTCGGGTTGCTCTCCGCCAAGTGTGCGACTACCCTCGCAGCCGCAGCCCTCTGTCCATCCCATGGGATGCAAGGGGGGCGGCCGTTGCACGGGATTTCTTCTCCGTAGATTGAAGCAAGGAAGGGTAGCAGTTGCTCACAGGGCCCTCTCGTTTCGTCGGTTGCATCATCCTCGATGTCCTCCCACTGTTGCTGCGCGAAGGCGGCCCAGAGGGTGTAGGCTGCGTGGCTCCACTCGATCAGGTATTTCACCAGAGCGCGGACAGGGCTTCTCGACTCACTCCCTACCAGACGGAAGGTGGAGTAGGTGGGCAGCAGGGGCGCCGGTGGCGGCTGCAGGTCGGGAAGAGAATAATTGATCTTGGTGGGGGGCCGTGCCGATCGGTCCTCGCGCGGTGGGGCAGGTGCGTCCGCGTCTTCGACTGGTGCCCTGCTCCCTGGGGAGAGGTGCGTGGACATGTCGTAGCTGTAACTGTCCTCGGGAGCTTCTGTTGTGGCCTGCCGCTGAGTAGGGATAGCTGGGCACACCTCGCTGGAGTAGGTGGTCGAGCATGTGGTCGAGGACGCCTGGGGCGATGTTCCAGATGTGAACAAAGCACCTCCTGCAGGCCCATTCCGCGTTCCACTGCTGCTTGATCCATAGGGAGGGCATTACGTCCCACGGCGGGAGGCCCGCATGCTCGTTGCAGTTTGCTTCTGCCTCGGGGCGCCACATGCAGCTTCCGAGGGCAGGGCGGCCCGGCTTCCATTCCAGCAAGGGGGAACCAGGGGGACAGGTGTCACATGTGGCTGAGTACCTTTGGGTGTGGTGCGCTTCTGCACCGAACCTGCCGTCGGTGAGCCTGTGGGGTGGGAAGGCGGCACCGACGCTGGACGGCTGGAAGGGGCGCGGCGCCCGCATGACGAGGCCCCTCAGGGTGGACGGAATCGGGGCATCGTTTGGACGACCAAACCCCAGCCGGAGGTTGGACAGCGAGGGGAGGGCCCGAGCTCTCTTGCGCGCTTGGTTTTCCTCCGCTCTGCGATTATACTCCCGCAGTCGCTGCTGCAAACTCCAGGGACTTGACCCGACACAACTCGCATGGCCATCTGCAGTTTTGTTTCTCTCTTCATGTATGCATGTGCGCGGTTCTGCGCGAGTAACTCCCGGGTGTCGTCATCCTCCCAGGTGCCGGCTGCGCCCTGCAATCCCGCGCTGGTGCAGCCGTCGCAGTTGAAGCGAGCCTCCTTCTGCAGCCTGCAGAATCGCTCGCCCCGCACTACCGGGGGGGATAGCGCCGCGCCGGAAGCCGGCGATGCCGGGAGGTCCTCGTCGAGGCGGCGGTTGGACATCGCGACCCCGCCTCCTATGTACCGCAGGTCTGACATGGTGCGTGGGCTGCCG